GCATGCAAATCACAGTTCTTCAAAAAGTTAAACAGAATTATCATATGAGCTAGCAACTCTCTTCCTAGGTATATAACCCCCAAAATTGAATACAGGTACTCAAACAAATACTTCTAAACCAGTGTTTATAGCCTCATTAGTCACAATAGTCAAAAGGTGGAACTGACCCAAATGCCATCAGGTAATAAGAGATATACAAAATATGTTATACACAGACAGTGAGAAATTCTATTCAGCTATAAAAAGGAAAGAAATAGGCTAGGTGTGGTGGCTCATATCTGTAATCCTAGTATTTTGGGAGGCTGAGGCAGGAGGATTGCTTGAGGCCAGGAGTTCAAGACTAGCCTGGGCATCATAGCAAGACCCTATCTCTACAAATTAAAATGAAAATTAGCTGGATATGATAGCATGCACCTATCATCCCAACTTACTTATGAGGTGAGATAGGAGGATTCCTCAAGTCCAGGAGTGCAAAGCTGCAGTGAGCTATGATTGCGACACTGTACTCTAGCCTATGACAGAGCAAGATCCTGCGTCTTAAAAAAAGAATGAAGTCCTGATACATGCTACTACCATGCAGACTTCTTTTTTTTTCTTTCTCATCTGCCATTTCTGATGTGAGTAATGGTCCCTCTTGGAAATGATATTGTTTAAAGCAAGTGATGGGAAAAGAATTCTAGAAAGCTCTGGCATTTTTTTTTTTTTTTGAGACATGGTTTCACTCTTGTTGCTCAGGCTGGAGTGCAATGGTGCGATCTCCGCTCACCGCAACCTCTGCCTCCTGGGTTCAAGCAATTCTCCTGCCTTAGCCTCCCGAGTAGCTTGGTACTACAGGCATGCACCACCACGCCCAGCTAATTTTTGTATTTTTAGTAGAGACAGGGTTTCACCATGTTGACCAGGATGGTATCGATCTCTTGACCTTGTGATCCTCCTGCCTCAGCCTCCCAAAGTGCTGGGATTACCGGCATGAGCCACCGTGCCCTGCCAGTTCTGGCAATTTTTTTACCCAGGGAGAAATAAAAGGGATAACCAGTCATATATGCATTTTCTGTTACATAAGAAGAAAGATTGTGCAAGAATGGCTCCAGGTGCTCACCTAGGGTCAGCTGGGACCCCAGGAGCTTCCTCATTCTCTGGGCAGAGACAGTATACACACTCAGCTTCCCCTGGGGCTGGCAGCTTCCTCCTGGTCCTCTCTATTTCCCCATTGAGGGAGAACTGTGGGGAACGCTCCTGTGTAAGGCCCCTAGGAAATGGGCCTCACCATACAGTGAGCTTGAGCCCAGACACAGATTCCGGTTGGGGGAGTCGAGCTGAGGGAAAGCAGGAACCGAGAGAGGGACTATGCTATCAAAACAATTAACAGACATTACTTTATGGATATGAGGACTTTGGAGGCATTGTGTCCATTTTCGGTTCCTTATGGTTTATTGCTTCATTGTGTTCATTTTTGGATCCTTGCTACATTAGTTGTAAAATATTCACTTCAGTATTTACAATTGTTAAGTATTTACTGGGCATAACTTACTTAGTGGGCATAACTTACTTACCTTGTGACTTAACTTAAGTATTTACAATTGTTAAGTATTTACTGGGCGTACTGATAATATTGATAATCAGCATCACCTACTTCACCCTTGACCTTTTAAATCAGTATCTGTTCCTTTTACTAGTTCCCCATAATTGTTTTCTGTTTCTTTGGTTATTTGAGAAATGCTTTGATCTGACGTAAACAACATTAAGTAGAAAAGTATATAATGGAACCTACTGCACAAATAAAATTGCTGCTTGGGCATAGCCCATCCAGTCCTCCAGACCCCGCTCTTTTCTTTCTCCTTTTTTTTCCACGCACGCTCTCTTCCAGGTTTGGGACCCTCTGGCTGGATGAGATTCCCGGGCTCGCATTCAGTTCACAAAACCCGATGGGAAACTGCACGACTCACAGGCCCCAAGGTCCCTAGTTGATTCCTAATGAACTCCTGTAAAGAGTCAGCTCCCTAAATCCAGACTCCCTGGTACCAGGCAATCTGTATATTCCCTTATGAACAAGACCATTTTCCCATACCAGCCTATGGGAAGAAAGACCCATTGTGACAGGGGAAAGGGACAGGCTTTCTCCTCTGGAACAGAACCATACAGCCCAGCAGCCCTCACCTGCCTCACTGATGGTAAGCTTGGGCAACCACTGCCTGGGGAGTTTTTCTTTTCCCCAGTAAAGCCTATTCCCCATTATTCTTTTTTCTTTTTTTGAGATGAAGTTTGCTCTTGTTGCCCAGGCTGGAGTGCCGTGGTGTGATCTTGGCTCACTGAAACCTTTGCCTCCTGGGTTCATATGGTTCTCCTACTTCAGCCTCCTGAGTAGCTGGGATTTCAGGCACCTTCCACCACGTCTGGCTAATTTTTTGTATTTTTAGTAGAGACAGGGTTTCATCATGTTGACCAGGCTGGTTTTGAACTCCTGACCTCAGGTGATCCACCTGCCTCAGGCACTCAAAGTGCTGGAATTACATGCATGAACCACTGTACCTGACCTATTCCCCGTTATTCTAATTGAAGTATTTCAAGAACAGAAAACCAAATACCGCGTGTTCTCACTTATTAGCTAAAGAGCTAAGTATCAAATACTCACACACAAAGATGGGAACAATTGCACTGGGGACTACTTGAAGGGGGAGGTGGGTGGGAGTGTGGGTACCTATTGGGTATTGTGCTTACTACTTGGGTGACAGAATCCTTCATACACCAAACCTCAGCGACGCGCGATTTACCCATATAGCAAACTTGCACATGTACCACCTGAACCTAAAATAAAAATCAAAGGGAAAAAAATGCCTATTCCTTAATCTATGCCACATGATGTTGTGGAATTCATCCCAAACTCTGTAACAATAGGCGACTACCATGAAGGGATCCACCTGGTACACTAATCTCTGTATGAAACAAGAAAAGGAAAGTGCGCATTTAAGAATGAGGCCTATACAGAATTTCAGGGAGCCCGGGCAGGCCCAATCCTTTATCTGAAGAAAAATCTTAATATTCAATGGTGCAAAATACTGCTTTTAAATTCAGTCTCCAGTCCTTCCATGGTCCAATTCATGAACATCAGGGCATCATCTTTCCTATCTTTTTTTTTTTGAGAGTGAATCTCACTCTGTCGCCCAGGCTGGAGTGCAGTGGCATGATCTCAGCTCACTGCAAACTTCCCCTCCCAGGTTCAAGCAATTCTCGTACCTCAGCCTTCCAAGTATCTGGGACTAGGCATGAGCTACCACGCCTGGCTAATTTTTGTATTTTTTGGTAGAAATGGGGTTTCACCATGTTGGCCAGGCTGGTCTCAAACCTCTGACCTCAGGTGATCAGTCCACTTTGGCCTCCCAAAGTGCTGGGATTATAGGCGTGAGCCACTGTGCCTGGCCTTTTTCCTATCTTCTCTTTAGTCTTTTTCTCTCTGCTGCCTCCACCAGCCCTGTCCTAGAGAAGCCTCTCATGTTCTGGGTAATTATGAGAGGAGACTTTAGGTCCTTCCCATTGTTTCAGAGTCAACAGCAAAACCCATCCTTTTCTTGTCACTGCTGAAGTTTGCTCTGCCTTAGCAAAAGGTAAATATTACTTGCTATATGCCAAGCTCTGTTATAAGGACCATATCTACTAATTTTTCAAAGGTCTGGGTAGGGGAAGAAGACCCTGGTTGTGTATATGTCTACTATGGAGGACTTGTAAGCCCCAGCTGAGCACCTAATTTAAGTGTTGGTCAGGAAAGAGTTCTAAGCTGAAGCTCAGAAGAAAGGCATGTGGGAAGAGGCCCAGTAAAGCCTCATGCATGGGAAAGAACCATGTAGATGTAAGAATTCTCTGGTAGGATCAGATTTTGACAGGTGCATGCATCAGACTAATGATAATTTCACACCCTTTCAAGGCCATATTATTGTTAAATATCAAAGATAAGGGTTTTGGGGGCTGGTGACAGATGTCAGCCTCCTGCCAATCCAGCTCTGGGGCATGTTTGTACACCTGTTTAGTGAAACAGTCCTCCAAATGTTAATTAAAACTACACTCCTTGGAAGTACTTTATTTTAACCCCAGTTCATTTCTGCAGGTGGCTTTACCAAGCGCTCCCTCCAAACACATAAAGTGCTTGGCCTGTGAAAGGCTTTGGGAGACAGAATTGTCTCCTTCTTGGTAGATTTCCAGTGAGTTTTGGGTAATGTGCATCCTGGGGAACGGCACGGTAGTCTGCCCCTTGTTGAATCCTACTTAGCCAGAAGTCTAACTTTGAGAATTCATCAAAAATTGGCAGGATACTGTTAGGAGATAGCAGAATCCTGTACAATCCAGAATCAGAATCAGAATGTGATGTGCATCACAATATTATCACAGCTCTCTTTATTATCACCCCTCTCTTCCTCTAATCCCTTGCTACTCAAAATGTGATCCTAAGACACTGTGTTGGAACCACCTAGGAGCCTGTTAGAAATAGACTCTCGGGTCATGGTCTGGGCCAATTGAACAAAATTTGCATTTGAACAAGAACAACCTATGATCCATGAATCAAGTGTGAGATGCATAGCAGTTTAACCCACAGTCCCTCAAGGCTCAGTCATAACCGTGTTTTTCCATAGCCCTCCTTCAGGGGACCTCAGAACTCTTATTTGCATTCTCCACTCTCACCCACCCTGCCCCACTAAAAGGAGAGTATCCCTGGCCTGCTTTCCACCCTCAGGGTTTCCCTGGACTACTGATAATCAGTATGTCTTGGGACATTCAGTCTTCGTCTTCGGACTGCTGGCCCTCCCCCTGAAGGATATGTGACACAGTGATGCCCTGTCTTCCTAGGTTCTGATGTTGGGGGAATGTAATTAAAAATAAAATATCCTACCAACCCAGGAGAACTTCTCACAAACACAGAGGGGAAAGACAATTTAAATTGACGTGCATCACAGGCAATCTTCTGCAGAGACTGCAGATTGCAAAGTCAGGAAGAAATCCTACCCTTTTCTGTGCTTGCCTCGGCAGCACATATACTAAAGTTGGAACGATAAAGAAAAGATTAGCATGGCCCCTGCACAAGGATGACATGCAAATTTGTCAAGTGTTTCATGTTTTTCATTCCATGCTGATGGTTAGAAAGAATCAATATTATGAAAATGGCCATACTGCCCAAAGTAATTTATAGATTCAATGCTATCCCCATCAAACTACCACTGACCTTCTTCACAGAACGGGAAAAAACCACCTTAAACTTCATATGGAACCAAAAAAGAGCCCACATATCCAAGACAATCCTAAGCAAAAAGAACAAAGATGGAGGCATCATGCTACCTGACTTCAAACTATACTACATGGCTACAGGTAATCAAAACAGCACAGTACTGTTACCAAAACAGAGATATAGACCAATGGAACAGAACAGAGGCCTCAGAAGTAACATCCCACAGCTACAACCATCTGATAATTTGACAAACCTGACAAAAACAAGCAATGGGGAAAGGATTCCCTGTTTAATAAATGGTGTGAGGAAAACTGGCTAGCCATGTGCAGAAAGCTGAAACTGCACCCCTTCCTTACACCTTATACAAAAACTAACTCTAGATGGATTAAAGATTTAAATGTAAGACCTAACACCATAAAAACCCTATAATAAAACCTTGACAATACCTTTCAGGACATAGGAGTAGGCAAAGACTTCGTGACTAAAACACCAAAGCAATGGCGACAAAAGCCAAAATAGACAAATGGGATCTAATTAAACTTAAAAGCTTCTGCACAGCAAAAGAAACAATCATTAGAGTGAACTGGCAACCAACAGAATGGGAAAACGTTTTTGCAAGCTACCCATCTGACAAAAAGCTAATGTCCAGAATCCGTAAATAACTAAAACAAATGTACAAGAAAAAAACAACCCCATCAAAAAGTGGGTGAAAGATATGAACAGATGCTTTTCGAAAGAAGACATACATATGGCCAAAAAACATATGAAAAAATGCTCATCATCACTGCTCATTAGAGAAATGCAAATCAAAACCACACATCGAGATACCATCTCACACCAGTTAGAATGGTGATCATTAAAATATCTGGAGACAACAGTTGCTGCAGAGGATGTGGAGAAATAGGAATGCTTTTACACTGTTGGTGGGAGTGTAAATTAGTTCAATGATTTTGGAAGACAGTGTGGTGATTCCTCAAGGATATAGAAATAGAAATACCATTTGACCCAGCAATCCCATTACTGGGTATATACTCAAAGGATTATAAATCAATCTATTATAAAGACACATGTACACATATGTTCATTGCAGCACTGTTTACAATAGCAAAGACATGGAACCAACTCAAATGCCCATCAAAGATAGACTGGATAAAGAAAATGTGGCACGTATACATGATACTTTTTAAAATATTATGCAGCCATAAATAAGGATAAATTCATGTCCTTTGCAGGAACATAGATGAATCTGGAAACCATCATTCTCAGCAAACTGACACAAGAACAGAAAACCAAACACTGCATGTCCTCACTCATAAGTGGGTGTTGAACAATGAGAACACATGGACACAGGGAGGGGAACATCACACACTGGGGTCTGTTGGAGAGTGGGGGTCTAGGGGAGGGATAGCGGGAGGTGGGGAGATTGAGGAGGGATAACAATAGGAGAAATACCTAATGTGGGTGACAGGGGTATGGAGGCAGCAAACCACCATGGCATGTGTATATCTATGTAACAATCTGGCAATATCTGCACATTTACTCCAGAACTTAAAGTAAAATAAAAAAAAAGAAAAAGAAATCTTACCCTTTTCTATATCTAGGCAGATACAGTCCATTACATACATGTTTTCATGTGTGAGGACTTGAAAAGACCGTTTTCACACATAGTTCATCCTAAATTCACTGGGTTATTGGTCTGGCCATCTTGGTTAATTTCCTTTATCTAAAGGAAAAATAAAACTTCTCATATCTTTATGACAGGAGTATTTTTGCAGCTTACAGCCAGGCAGCTGCCACGTTAGGCTCCTGCTCTCCCACAGAAATGGGGAGAGGAGGGGCTCTCTTTCTTGATGATTACACTTCAAAGGGTTCATTCCCACGTCCTTAAGAAAAACATTCCTGTTTTGTAAAGGTGGTGAGAGACTTTTTAAAGCTTTTAAGAAGATTTATATGCATCTTAAAAGGGCGGAGAAAGAATTTACAATTATAACTTTTTAAAAATTCTTTTTTATTTTATTGAGTCAGGATCTCTCTCTGTCACTCAAGCAGAATATAGTGGCACGATCTCGGTTCACTGCAACCTCTGCCTCCCAGACTCAGGCAATTCTCCCAGGTCAGCCTTCTGAGTAACTGGGACTACAGATGCATACTATATGCCCAGCTAATTTTTGTATTTTATTTTATTTATTTTTTATTTCCATAGTTTTTGGGGAACAGGTGGTGTTTGGTTGCATGGAAAAGTTCTTTAGTGGAGATTTCTGAGATTTCGGTGCACACATCACCCGAGCAGTGTACACCATACCCAATGTGTAGTCTTATATTCCTCAACCACCTCCCACCCTTCCCCCCAAGTCCCCTCATATGCATCCTCATAGCCTAGCTCCCACTTGTGAGAACATACAATGTTTGATTTTTCCATTCCTGAGTTACTTCACTTAGAATTATGGTCTCCAACTCCACCCAGGTTGTTGCAAAATATTAAAATGTGCTCCGAATGAAGAGACCCCTGCAAACAGGCTTTGTGTGAGCAACATGGCTGTTTATTCACCCAGATGTGGGCAGGCTGAGTCCAAAAAGAGAGTCAGCGGAGGGCAGAGAAATAGGAGTTTGTTTTATAGGTTTGGAGTAGGCAGTGGAAAGTTACAGAGGTTACAGTTCAGGGTGGTTTTTTGCAAGCTGGGAGGGGGTCCCAGAGTCTGGAGTCACAAGGTTGACCAAGGTTGGTTACATAGTCCAGTTGCCTTGTCAGTTGAAGCAGGAATAAGGAACAATAGAAGAATGTCTCAAAGTTAATTAGGCACCAAAGGGGTTAATCATTCTTCCCCTTTCTGTGGTCTTCCAGTAACTTCAGACTTTCTAGTTCCAGGAACTCATCTGGAGTGTATGTGCAGGTCACAGAGGTTACCATGCCATCCATGGTGCAGTCAGTTGGCTTAAAAGACCATACACAAATGCTATTATTTTGTTCCTTTTTATGGTTGAGTAGTATTTCATGGTATGTATGTTTGTGTTTGTGTGTGTGTGAGTGTGTGTGTGTGTGTGTGTGTCTTACATTTTTTTTTGTCAGATGGAGTTTCACTCTTGTTGCCCAGGCTGGAGTGCCATGGTGTGATCTCGGCTCACTGCAACCTCTGCCTCCTGGGTTCAAGCAATTCTCCTGCCTCAGCCTCCGGAGTAGCTGGAATTATAGGCATGCACCACCACACCCAGCTACTTTTGTATTTTTTTTTAATTTTAGTAGAGATGGGATTTCTCCATCTTGGTCAGGCTAGTCTTGAACGCCTGACCTCAGGTGATCCACCCGCCTCAACCTCCCAAAGTACTGGGATTACAGGCCACATTTTCTTTATTCATTCATTAGTTGATAGGCATTTGAGCTAGTTCCGTATTTTTTCAATTGTGTATTGTGCTGTTATAAAGACTTGTGCAAGTGGCTTTTTCATATGACTTCTTTTCCTCTGGTAGAGAAGAATATTTAGCGTTTTCTAGGTATATGATCATATATCATCAGCAAACAGTGACAGTTTGACTTACTCTTTACCAATTTGGATGCCATTCTTCCCTTGTCTGACTGCTCTGGCTAGGACTTTTAGTACAATGTTGAATAGCAGTGATGAAAGTGGGCACCCTTGTCTTGTTTCGGTTTTGAGGAGGAATGCTTTCAACTTTTCCCCATTCAGTATAATGTTGGCTGTGGGTTTGCCATAGATTGTTTTTATTACCTTGAGGTGTGCCCCTTCTATGCCAAGTTTGCCCAGAATTTTAATCCTAAAGCGTTGCTGGATTTTCTCAGATGATTTTCCTACATCTATTGAGATAATCAAATGATTTTTGTTTTTAATTGTTTATGTGATGTATCACATTTATTGACCTGCTTAAGTTAAACCCCTATATCCCTGGTATGAAACTCACTTGATCATGGCATATTATCTTTTTGATGTGCTGTTGGATTCAGTTAGCTAGTATTTTGTTGCGGATTTTTGTATCTATGTTCACCAGGGATACGGGTCTGTAATTTTTTTTGTTGTGTTTTCCTGGTTTCGGTATTAGGATGATACTGGCTTCACGAAATGATTTAGGGAGGATTTCCTCTTTCTCTATCATTGGAATAGTTTCAATAAGATTGGTACCAATTTGCCTTTGAATGTCTGATATAATTCAGCTGTGAATCCATCTGGTCCTGGACTTCTTTATGTTGGCAATTTTAAAATTACTGTTTCAATCTTGCTACTTGTTATATTGGTCTGTTCAGAGTTTCTATTTCTTCCTGATTTAATCAGGAGAGTTGTATATTCCCAGGAATTTATTCATCTTCTCTAGATTTTCTAGTTTGTGTGAATAAAAGGTGTTCATAGTAGCCTTAAATGATCTTTTGTATTTCTGTGATATTGGTTGCAATAGCTCCCATTTCATTTCTAATTGAGCTTATTTGAATATTCTCTCTTCTCTTCTTGGTTAACCTCATTAAGGGTCAATTGATTTTCTTTACCATTTCAAATAGCCAGTTTTTTGTTTCATTTGTCTTTTGAATGTTTTTGTTTGTTTCAGTTCATTTAATTCTGCCCTGATCTTTGTTATTTCTTTTCTTCTGCTGGATTTGCATTTGGATTCTTCTTGTTTCTCTAATTTCTTGAGGTGTGGCCTTAAAGTGTTTATTTTGTGCAGTTTAAGACTGAACTTTCCGCTTAGCACTACTTTTGCTGTATTTCAGAGGGTTTGATAAGTTTTGTCTGCTGGGTGCTAGCCCCAACCCTGTAGGTGGGTGCCCTTAGTCCTGGTGGTGATGAGGGAGTGAGAAAAGAAATAACAAAGACAAGAGTAGAGTTCCACCATATGGGTCCAGGGGACCAATGCACACAAGCACAGGGACAGCATTGGCCCTGAGTTCTGGGCTC